GCCTCCGAGCCGGCGGGAGGCACCGGCTGGGCCCCTTCCCCCTCGCGCCTCTCGCGGCGCCGCTCTCCCCGGCCCCGCTGGGAACAGAACTCGCTCGCCCAGGCCAAGCTTTTGTCAAGTGCCAGACTCCAGAGAGGGGCGGCGGGTGTCGGGGTCCATTCCAACCCCGCGGTCTGCCTGTTGCCCACCCTGGCCTGGGCTGTTGGAGGCCTCTCTCTTTTGGAAAATGCAGCTATAAAATGGAGACGACCCTGCAGCCGTAGCACATGCGAAGGGGTTAGCTGTGAACTTTCTGGCTGGGATAGGCCTCCTGTCAAACTGGCAAGCTGCCGTTTGCTAGTCTAGTCTTTCAAAACAAGTAATTGGGAAGAATCATTTTACTTCTCTATTTGGCCTGGGCTGTTGGAGGCCTCTCTCTTTTGGAAAATGCAGCTATAAAATGGAGACGACCCTGCAGCCGTAGCACATGCGAAGGGGTTAGCTGTGAACTTTCTGGCTGGGATAGGCCTCCTGTCAAACTGGCAAGCTGCCGTTTGCTAGTCTAGTCTTTCAAAACAAGTAATTGGGAAGAATCATTTTACTTCTCTATTTTCATGTAGCTACAGCCTTTTGTTAAAGTTACATGTGTAGACTTATTCCAAGCATAATTTCCTGGGGGAAGAAGGGATGGGAGAATGAAGTTAACTTTATCTGAGGCATAGGGATCAGTTCATAATGCATGCAGTCACAATTGGCCTTGTTCTTCCTTAAAAATTATTCCTATTTTATGGAGAAGACTTAATAAATGTGTAAAGCGACCTTCTCCACTTTGCTTAGGTTGGAATTAAAAATATTAACATGGATTTTTCACATTCTTGAGGACACACATTCCTTTTGCAGTATATTTATAAAAAATGGTATACTAGCATAGTTCTTATTCTTAAATCTTGTTTTTTAGTTTTAGCTTCTTGCACTGAGGTGGGAATTCCAGCTATCATGCTGCAAAACAGAGCAGCACAAAATGATTGGATTAGCAGTGTGGAGCAGTTGAGTCCATGCTGCTTTATTACTCCTACCAACACCTAACCTTCAGTCTAACACACAACCACCTCAAGTTAAAAGCACTTCTTAGTGTTCACAGGAGCTAACCTCATGGGCTGTGTCTAGACTGGCAAATTTTTCTGCAAAAGCAAGTACTTTTGCGGAAAAACTTGCCAGCTGTGTACACTGGCCGTTTGAATTTCCGCAAGAACGCTGACTTCCTACTGTCTGAAATCAGTGCTACTTGTGGAAATGCTATGCTGCTCCCATTTGGGCAAAAGTCCCTTTTGCGCAAAACTTTTGTGCAAAAGGGCCAGTGTAGACAGCTCAGATTTGTTTTGCGCAAAAAACCCCGATCACGAAAATGGCGATTGGGGCTTTTTTTGCGCAAAAGCGCATCTAGATTGACAGACGCTTTTCTGCAAAAAGTGCTTTTGCAGAAAAGCATCCACGCCAATCTAGACGCTCTTTTCCGCAAATGCTTTTAACAGAAAACTTTTCTGTTAAAAGCATTTGCGGAAAAGAGCGTCTAGATTAATATAAGAACAGCCATAAGGGGTCAGATCAAAGGTCCATCTAGCCGCGTCTTCCCGTTAAGGATGTAAACGACTAGTCAAGTGATTACTTGGTTACTTGCTTCCCTCTGCCCCCCACTGCCTCTTTATCAGAGGCAGCAAGGGGCGGGGAGAGGAAGAGCCTGATGGCTCTTACGTTTAAAATGCATAGCTGCAGTGATGGCCCAATCGACTAGTCAATGGAAATTCCATCGATTACTTGATTAGCTAACGGTTATTTAACATCCCTACTTCCAACAGTGGCGAATACCAGGTGCCCCACAAGTAATGAACAGATCCATCCTGTTGCCCATATCCCACTCTTTGACAGAAGCAAAGGACACCATTCCTACTTGTCCTGGCTAATAAATTCATGGGGGATAAGTCAATCGACTAGTCAATGGAAATTCCATCGATTACTTGATTAGCTAACGGTTATTTAACATCCCTACTTCCAACAGTGGCGAATACCAGGTGCCCCACAAGTAATGAACAGATCCATCCTGTTGCCCATATCCCACTCTTTGACAGAAGCAAAGGACACCATTCCTACTTGTCCTGGCTAATAAATTCATGGGGGATAAGTCTATCAATGCTTATCTAGTTATTTTTTTAAACCTTATTAAAGTCTGTTTTCTCAACATTCTCTGGCAAGGAGTTCCACAGTTTGATTGCCTTGCATGAAGAAATACTTTTGTTTTAAATATGCAACCTGTTAATTTCATTTACTGATCCCCTTAGTTCTTATGGGAACAAGCAAAACCATTCATGATTTTGTATAAGACAAGCTTTTAGAAACAAAGGATATATAGTACAACTGTCTCTGGGGTAGATAGATACCAGTGTATAATTGCAGGTCTTGTAAACTAGAACTACTGTTCGTTCAATGCTACTTCAGCTTGAGGGACCTGTATACATAGTAGCAAAAAGCAGATTTTAACATGCAGAACTGTACACCTATTATCTGAAGGCAAGACCAACTTCCATAAAATAGTATTACTGAATGCTATAGTTTTGGTTTGACTGAACAAAAATTAAAATTCAAGTGTTGTGTGTAATAAAAGCTAGCTGTACATGATACAGCCCTCTGATATTGTAGACTGTTGCAAGATAAAATTTCCTGTGAATGCTAACTTAACATTTATCTTATAATTAGGTTTCTCAGGCGGCAGCAGACTTGAAGCAGTTCTGTGTGCAGAATGCACAACATGATCCCCTATTGACAGGAGTGTCTTCAAGTACAAATCCATTCAGACCCCAGAAAGTCTGTTCATTTTTGTAATTTGATGAACTATCTTGATCTCTTTCAGTGGTAAGTTTTTAAACTATAAACAACTAGACTTACCTATTGTTGCCCAGGTCCTTCAGGACAGGGGGCTGACAGCATGGGGGAGAGGGACAAGGCAGGGCCTTAGATGTGGCAGGGGGTGGGGAGCAGGGCTGGAGGGGAGGGGATCAGAGTGAGGATTGGGGTGGTGAGGAATGGGCTCACGGAGGGGATCCAGCCTATGGTGCTTTATTTTTCCTCTCCTCTCCCTACCCCCCCAGCTTTGCAACCAAAGGATAGGGTGCAGAAGAGCTACTTAGCCAGGCTGGTGGCAGGCAAGATGATGGAGCAGCAGCCCTGCTGCCTACTCTCTTGGTGGTATAGTGCTCTCCAGTGGCCACTCAGGAGCATTGCATTCTTCCTTTTCCAAGTGCAGGACAATGTAGCACTTTAAAGACTAACAAGATGGTTTATTAGATGATGAGCTTTCGTGGGCCAGACCCACTTCCTGGATCTGAGGAAGTGGGTCTGGCCCACGAAAGCTCATCATCTAATAAACCATCTTGTTAGTCTTTAAAGTGCTACATTGTCCTGCATTTTGCTTCAGCTACCCCAGACTAACACTGCTACATTTCTATCACTATTCCTTTTCCAAGTGATGGAACACAGCCCCATTCCTGGCACTTCCCGTTTTCTTGGCACAGCCAAACCATCACTTGGTTTTGTTAGGATAGAAGAAGTTGCACACCAAATTTAGCAGGAATTTTTGGACAGACTTAGATATTTCTGAAATATATAGATGGATGATACAAGCTTTTTGTCTTGATAATGTAAGCTGCCATCAGGTCAAACATTTTAAATGTATACAACATTACAAAGTATGTTTTAAAAATTTCTAAATTTTCACTAAAATGTACTGCTCCTATTTCCTTACCAAAAAATTTAGTGCTAGTGAACAATATTGTTACAGTCCTAAAACCTTTTTATGTATTCTGGCAGTTTGAGTCTCCATGCACCCATGCCAAGTTACTTCAATGAAACTTGAAGGGCTCACTTCTAAAATAAAACCTCTGTACTACAATTGCCAATAATGGTGTTTGTGACATGAAGCATTGTTGAGTTGGAACTATATCAAGACCACCAATTCATTTAACAGAAGTTTCTATATTGATAGCCAAACACGATTACTTTGTCCATTGTTGACCTGGGCTGTATTTGAGTGGAGCAGTAAAATGACTCAGGATTTTATTGGATTGTCTAACTACTGCTGATTATGGAATTTGACTAAACTCATTTGGGTAGAATGGATTAGATAGGTGAGTCAGGATAGCAAAGAATGCTGCTAGTGATTGTTTCAGACTGTAACATTATCTGTTTAGAAACACAGGGATTAAAATTTATTTTTAGCAAACTACGTGCACATCACCTGAAGTTAGTTTGTAGAAAGTAAAGCTATACTTGATCATGTGTTTCCCAACAGAAATTTGGCAACACTAAGAATTTCTTAATCCAAGTTTTATTTGTTCTTCCCATTTGATAAGTTACATTCCTCTAACTGAAGGAAGCTTCCAAAAATAGTGATAGAATAAAATAGCATAATAGTACAACCTACATGCACCCACATATCATATCTCCCAGAAGGCAGCCCCTTTCCCGGAATTAACCACACAACTAGATAGAGTGTTCTTATCCTTGTGTGTTAGAAGTAAATTCTGTCCTTCCCTTGAATAATTCCAGAGACATGAAAATTGTCCTCTATTTTATATTTGTTCCTTTACCATTTTGTGCTAACAGTCTGTGTTCCTACAATGCCTAGGAAAGTTACAAGAAACACTAGAGTGAATAGCAAGATAGCAGGTAAAATTTTCCAAAGACTAGTTTGAACACCAGATTAGAACAGTATGCATTTGTCTAAGGTTGTATTTTCACTTCCTGTGAATTGGCTGTTAGGTTACTTTCACTTGAATTATAAAAATGGATTCTTACCTACAACTTTGTCATGCTTTTTATGCAAAAACATTCCTAATATGAATTCATACTGCAGCATTTACCTGTTAAATATTTACTATTGTTTCAAGAGTCAATCAAGAATTCTGTGGAGGAGCTTAATAATGTGTAAAAGAAGCCTGGTGTAGATTGGTGACCTGTTAGTGAAGTAGGCAAAGTTGACTATAGTATCAATTTTGCTCTACACTAAACTTTTCTTAAAAAACACACCCACACCTAGGAATTAAGAGGCAGTGGTAATCAACTCCTTTTACTACTCTTCCCCTCCCCCCCCCAAAAAAACCCCTTTATATTTTTCAAGTCTCAACCCCTACAACTTGGGGTGAGGCTAAAACAGCATTCCCTCTAAGATTTTCCAACCATGAGCAGGGTGAGTTTTGGCTTGTGCACCAATATTGAGATCCCATGTGCTGGTTTGGATGTGTGCCACCCATCTTAACACACATTCCTGGCTGCTGGGGCAGAAACACCTCCCCCCCTTGCGGCAGGTCCTGTTCCCAGCCATCGGAGCAG